TAATTCATTGGTTTAATATGCTCTTGCATACGTGGTAGGAATGTAGCCTTTCCTCGGTATTTATTTGGTGCCTGAGAAAGTATCAGTTGTTGTGCAATGTTCTGAGTGCCCCGGAAAGGATCTTCTGCAATTATGTCCAATACTTCTTCCTCTGTGTCTGGAACCCGAACATCGATTGTCGTCCACTATCTTCCTGGAACCACTCTACTCGCTCTTTGTTGGCGTGAGTTTTTTCAGCTTCTGCTATGTTACTGTAACATTTCCCCTGAACCAATCACATATCCGCAAATTCGAGAAAGGAAATTCAAAGTAAGTAACACTTTGATAAATTATTGTTATTATTGACAAGGGCTATCAACCTGTAACTATCTGTTAATGACAAAAAATATCATTGCCGCTTTAACTGTTCATCAAAAAATTGTAGAAGAGAACTTTTTTAATATCCAAAGTTTTCGTAATTTGAAGCAAGGATCTTAATTTTATTTTTTGAATGCTTAAGCATTGCAATATGCTTCCAATTAAACATGGAACACTTTCAAAATAATGCTTAATAACAAAGTTGAAAAAAAAAWTTCAATATTTTTCTCGTACCTTCCAAGTGAGCCCCTATTACCCCTTAAAARSWATSACGCCAATTTGGGATCACCCTGTATAGGTATGTATATACGAGTTTACTGCCAGATAATCTGATCCGGTGAGTTACGGMGCAGGTGTGCTGGGTTGGCGCATCAAGCCATTTGCGCAGCACTACGGCAAGTCATGAAAATTCACTGAGTTTCCCAGGCCTAGTTTAAATGGATCAATGCGGAGGAAGAGAAGAAGACTTTGAAGATCACGGAAAGACCAGATGAGAGAAGCAATGGAAGCATAATTTTAACTTTAAACGCCAGATCGACTGGAGGGTTTAACATTTCTGTAAAAATTTGCAAAACAGAAGCCTCAAAGAGGTGACATTAAAAAACATGGAACTTAAGTGACCAAAATGCGACCACCTGGGGTTAAAAAGTAACGGAATATGAAGACAAACTAAATAAGCGACCGACAGTGAAATAAATTAAAGAAAAACGCTAGTGTTTCCTCAGACGTCGGGAGAACGTTACATTGTACATGTCAATGCTAACACTAAAAGTGGAATTTCTAGGGTGGACACTCAGCTGCAGTAAATGTATGTATACTATTGCTGCCGCTACACTTACATCTACTGCAGCATACTTAAATTTTACTATCGCTTACTTTACCATTTTGATTACTTGCTTGGGACGTTGTGTTTTCTATTAACAGAAATGCTTATTCGGCTTTGGATACGTGGTCCGTTGGAATTTTTTCCTGACATTTCTCTCACATTTGCAGTGTATATTTTCGAAGACAATGTGAGCAGAATGTGCAGGACGCACTCCATAGGGTCAACATTTACAACACTCGGTTAAGAGCACCACTAACTCCGGAAACCAGTCGTCAAAAATCAATTAGTTGGAGAGATTTTATAAAGTGAGCGGACCAGATACCACTCACTCTCCCTAAGCTTGACCCCTTTTCTATGAGAGCATTGCCAAAATGTGTCTTGCATAGTCAATATATTTACAAGACTTGGACGGAGAGTTGGCGTATGTAAAATTTATATTACCACATAAATTAATTATACGTTGTTTTCACATCAGATTTTTCATACCATTTCTATAATTTTTATACAGTGTCTCATAATGCGAGCACAGCTGTATACAAGTATTTTTTTATTTATTCATATGACTTTACATAATAATATATATACAATGATCCATAATAATATCTTAAAAAATAGAAAAGAATAAAATTCCGAAAAATCACTATTTTTGCATTAAAGTATACTTGTTAACCACCATACGTTCAAATGTCCATAAAATATTAATTATAAAAACTTTCGTTTTGATCCATTTTTGTCAAGCAAACAAGCAGAGAATATTAAGTTACTACAGAATCTCCGCGTTTTTACGCTTCGTATGTGATGGGAATTACGTTTAACCTCTGCGGGTTTCAGATAACACAATCGATGTAGATGATTGTATTAGCCCTCCCCATCGGTTGTCAAGGAATCAGCAAAAACTTGGTTGTGACAAGGACACGGCCAAAGAAATCATGAAAATGTGAAATAAAATTGTTTGTGCTTTGGCATATCGGAAAATATATTGGTTTGGAGGTATGGATATTCAAGATATACAGGGTGATTCAAAACTGACGTCATTCCTTTTAAGGGGTGATAGAAGCTCTCTTGGGGAGTACGAGAAAAATATCAACATTTTTTTTTTCGAAAATTTCTAGAAGATATTAACAGTTGAATATCGAATTTCAACTTTGTTATTAAGCATTATTTCGAAATGGTTCCATGCTTAATTGGTAGCATATTTGAATGCTTAAACATTCAAAAAGAAAAATTAAGATCTTTGCTTCAAATTAGGAAAATTTTTGATATCAAAAAAGTTCTCTTCTACAATTTTTTGATGAAAAGACACAGCGGCAATGATGTTTTTTTGTCATTAACAGATAGTTACAGGTGGATAGCCCTTGTCAATAATAACAATAATTTGTCAAACTGTGACTTAC